AGGCAGGCATCTGTTCAGTGCTTGTATCCAAGTCTCACATTTTCCTTTCTTTTCTCAAAACCAAGGATTCCATCCGAAAAATAACTTTCACAGAAGATGTTCAGCCAGGCATAGATAGACTTGGGATTCTATTGCCTAGATGCAGGAGGGATGCTGTGGTTTGACCAAGCTGATGTAGACTTCTATAGTAAAACAAAAGAGGGTTTGGGCTGTGTGGTAGGGGAAGAAGCCACATTACAGGATTCTAGAGGTCTTAATGGCCTTAAACTTCATTAATTAAAGAAATTATAGAATGAACACAGTGCTGCCAATTAGTTCACAGCGTACCTCATGGATCAGGTGTCAGAGGACACAGATGTGGGACGTCTGGTTTCTGAATCTCAAATTTCTTTAGCTGGGCAGCAAATACACAGAACACAATTCAGCTCCGCTTGCATTGGATGTGGAGTTAGGTGTTCAGCTCTAAGCTGTGCACTCAGTACAGCTCCTTGCACACTCAGTGGGGAGGCAAATGCCTCCATGGTTTAGTCAGGCAATCTTAAAGTACATGTCTGAGCTATGTGGGAGGAATCACCATCAGAGAAGAGGCCAAGTGAACAGTTTTAATATCTGACTGGTAGGTGGCTAATGTCGGCTGGGATAGAGTCATCCTAGATCTTTTGCTTCAGTAAGATTACTGTGGCAATAACAAGTGCAGCAGAAGGATTTCAGTGTGGCAAGGATGCATCACTGGTGAGAAAAGGCAATTGCAGACTCTGAGACATCTGCAGGAAGCAAGTGTTTTCAACTTTTGTTTTTAAGCAGTATGGGTCCTTTTTCATTCTAAGTCGCACTTCAGGTGATGGACCACTATTTTGATCTGTCAGACCATAGGAATCCGACATCTAAAATTAACTAAAAAGCACACTTCTATTTGGGTTTTGGTTTGACAGGTTTCGAAATCTATTTCTGTAAAATAAAATTCCCCCAGAGGTATCTATTTCTCTCTATTGATTATAATAGAAGCTTAGATGACAAACACTTAGATGACAACCTCAGACAAAGTTTCTTAGCTTCTGGATGTCTCAAATTAGGTGAGATGAGTCCCACCTCAGGTATTCAGTCTAATGCCATTATGAAGATCTCCTTTATAATTAATGAATGGGACAGGCATGCCCAGAAGGTAATTTGGCCCATCCTAGCACAGATAGATAAAGGGAAGAATGCACAAATCTCTAGAAATCTCTCTTTCCTTTCTGTAGGTATCCTAGAAAATGTTAGAATCGATTACAAACTTTTAGACTGTTAAAGCTGAATGAAATTAATGACACTCTTCACTTCCTTTCACCTCTATGCAAAAAATGTAGATAACAGTACTGTTTTACCCCTTCCAGGAGTTAATTTATAACAAAAGAAATTCTGAGGTGCCACAATGGACGAGATGGTGAAAAAGGTGCAAGAGCAATACAGTTTTTAACCCTGTGTACTTTCCGGGTAGGATAAAGGCAGTTAAGGTTAAGGTATGCATGATGAAGCATGGAGGAGAGTTTATTCTGTGTGGGTGGATGGACAAGCCCATATCCTAGATGTGTTGTGCAGAACGACTCTTCAACATTTTGTTGTCACGCAGATATGAAGACATGGAGGGAAGGAGAAAACCAAGCTGAAGATGATGCCTAGGTAGGAGATGACTGACAGGTAGGATGATAATGTTGTCCACAGTGATTGAGAATGGAGGCGGAGGAGAGATGAGACAGGGTTTGGGAAGAAAAATTCAAGAGTTCTGTTCTATACATAATGAGCTTGATCTGACAGCTAGACATCCACTAGGAGATGCTGGAAAGGCAGGCCAAGATTTTAGTTTGAACAGGAGTCAGTCCTACAGTAAAGAAGTTAGATATGCAAGCTGTCACTATAAAAATAGTAGCTGAATTTGTGTTGGTGGCTGCTAGGGGCAAGGCTTGGATGAAGAAGGCAAGGGAGACCTGTTTATGTCCCTAAATGGATGGGGAAGAGAGACAGGAGAAGACAGAGTAATCAAGCTGAAGATGCAGGGCATATCATTGTTATAAATACAGGTAAAAGTACATGAAAATTATGATCTCTCTTAAAGAAGGACATGGAGTTCCAGTAAAATACTATCCTAAAGCTGATGAGTTGATAAGAAATGTGATTTTAAAAGACCCAAAAAAGCTCTCTTGGCAAGTAGATACTGAAGGAACTTTTGGCCTGCTCAAAAGTAAGGGACATGGGGAAATTTATTTCTCAAAGCAATTGATTGTGTGAAAATTGGAAAGTTGGAGATCTGTTTGGTGGGCCCTTAGGAGAAACAAGTGCCTTGCATAGAGAAGTGGGGTTGTGATGGATGATGGTCAAGCACCTGTCCAAGGAAAGGTTAATAAAAAATTAAAAAAAAAAGAAAAGGAAAAAACTTTCATAAAAGAAAGTTGCCTTTTGAAACTATTAGGCAACATATGTTGTGTGAACAGGAAGTCACAGTAGAGCAATAATCCTGACAGCTGTGGAGAAACAGGAGTCTGCCGCAGGAACGAACGGCTCGAGACCTGACAAGAATGATGATGGATGCCCCGTTGGTAGTACACGAGGACAAGGCAAGAGACGTTTAAATTGGCTGAACCACAGGAACAACTTTGAGTTGGCATCGCAGCTGGACAAATGAGGCCAGTCCTAATGGTGAGATAAATGGGAGGGGGGACTGAAGGAAGATGGCAGCAACGCACTCCTCCTTTCCAAGGACGAGGGCTACATCGCCATCTCACCACGAGGTGGCTGCATTTCTCTGTGAACATCCAAGCCCTGAAAAAAGCTGCACACCCTGAAGCACCATGAAAATGAGAATGGGAACAGAGATTGCTTGCAGGATTTGGCCCATCTCATTCAAAGCGCCTTAAGCATTTTGAGGCCCCGTGGGAAAAACAGTGTGTGCTCTATGTCTTGTTCAAGTGGAAGTTGCTCAACGGGTCCTCACTAGCCTGCTGAGCAGTGGTTACTGACCATGTGTCTATTCATAGCTCATGGCAGATACAAGGCAATGCCGCATAACTTAGCTTAGAATGAAGAGGATGAAGTTCTTAATTTTCTTCTTGCTTATCCTGTGAACTTAGGTACATGGACTGCTGCTGAGGTTCAGCCAATTCATGGAAACTTGTCAAGCCATGGAAACTCGATTGTGAATCTGGGATGTGCATCTCATAAAGGTTAAACTCCAGTGCTTTTTCAGATGCCCAGATTTGGTTATTCAAGCACATTTCTAGAAGAGGTATTTGAGTCAAATAAGTCCACAGGAAAAATGGTCCCATAAAAAAAATGACTGATTAAATGGCCAAATCATTCGTTGTTTTGCACATCCTAAGTTCAGTTGATGTCAGCAAGATGTAACAGAAATTTGCTCCCAAGTGGTCAAAAGATGAGTATTTTTTCTTATCTAAAGTGTGCTGAAAATAGGAAGGATAAGGGTTGGGGAAGGATAAGGATATTTTGGGTATAGTAGTTCTAGATAAAATCTTCAGCTCTCCTTGGCTTTTGTCTGTTTTCTCCCATCTTCCTCTCACCTCTGTCACCTGAGTTTGCAAGATTTTTGGGACAGGAACTAGCTTTTTATTACACCTTTTTGTGGTACCAAACCCCGTGGAACTGCAATTCCTGACGTCAGTTTATACACATTGTCACTTTGGGTGAAAGTTTGAAAGAAAATCATTAAAAGTACCTCTTTGACCTGTCTCAGGAAAGATGACCATAATATTTTACTATGGGATGTCAGCATCAAGCCCAGTATCTGGTTTTGTTAGAAGGAATCTTTCAGGAAGAGAATCCTAAAAGTATTTTAATACTTCAAAAAATTGAGACCCTCATCTGTAAGGAGATTTTTTCAATAGCATCACTGGTAAATATATACTATTTTAAACCTGATTTGTCTAAGATGGTGTTCAAAAAAATGAGATCTTGATGATTTGCTACTTTTAGAAACCTTTTCCCTTGTAAAGAATTTTCCATTTTCATCCCTGCAAAGACCTAGAGACAATCTGCCGGCCCGCTTTACAGTTACATGGATAAATTCATGAATTTACATTAGAGTTACTTAAAGGAAGATTTTACACTCTTAAATAATTTTTATTGAGCTTTCCTGTATTCTTTCCAAATTGTGGGCATGCTTCTTAGCCTTTCATGATTCACACTATGAATAATTAGTAATAAAAATAATATACTATTATACTACACCAAAACATGTTGGACCAGACTGTCTTTCCTTTGCTGACAGTGGAATGCCTTCATTCCTCTGGGTCTGTGTGATGGTGTACAAATTTCATTTTGCATAGAAAATACATTCCATTTCTACTTTCCTGAACTATCAGGCTCAAACCCCCCTATTACTAGATTTGTCCAAGTGGAACAATCCCTCAAATGTTTCCTGGAAGATTCAGTAGTTGGTCTGACTGTCTTTCAAAAGTTGGATGTAGAGGACCACATTTATGCCCAGGTAGGCACTTTTGTAGTAGAGACAGAGGTGCCCATCACTATGTGATTTGTCTCCAGCTTCTAGTGTGAGCATGTGAACATGCTGCTCTCTGCTGAATGCAGCAAAAAGTTCTTTATCCTTCACCTAGAGGCAGGGACTCTTTGGAGGGAAAACAAAGAAGCCCTTAGACACAAGTTTCTGCTTTATTCATCCCTCTGAAACTTGAAAGATTACACTCATGGTGAGTTTGACCCAATGTTTTTGGCATCTGTGAACCATATGTCTTTTTTTCAGATCATCAAAACTGCTGGTGACAGAACACAGCACCGCTTGGGGTTTTGCGCCTGTGTGAAGTGACAGTGTCATCCTGGCCTTTCCAGTGATGAGTTAAGCACACCCAAGGCCCTGCATGCCTGAGCTGTTATCCATCCTTCCTAGAAGATGAGTTGCAGAACATAGATAAATCATCCCTCCTCCTCAATCAGACCACGAGGCAGCAAAGTCTGGACTGATCCTGACTTGCCTGTGTTACAGAGCTACTCACCGGCATTGTCTGGCTGCCATGCAAAGCATTGATGGCTGCTTGGGCCTCCGCATGTGAAGAGTATTTCACAAATGCACAGCCTGGAAGAGGAAAAAGAAGAACATGAGAAAGGTTGCACAGGTACCATGGAAGTCCATCTAGTTGAGTATCATGTCCTCAGAACTGGCCAATAAAGGTGCTTGTGGAGAAAGTATAACAAGCAAACATGCACCAGGTTATACCTTCCCAAAGTCCAGTCATCAGCAGCCTGAGGACCTCTTCAGGCAAAGCTGCATGCAGAATTCCCACACTACTTGTAATTGGCACTGATAGACTCAAACTTAGCAAATACATTTTGAATCTGCTTACGTTTTGACCTCCACAGTTTCTCATGGCAGAAGTTGCACAATTTTACAACTTATTGGGTGAAAATTATTTTCGTCTTACATGTATTAAACTCAATGCTGAAATCTCCTCCCTTTGGTGATATAACAGTAAGGAAGTCTGTAAAAATTTTAAGAAAGCCTCACATACTTGTTACAAGCAACCACAGCCCAACTGTACAGAGGCATTCAGGTTACTCCAAACCTGCAAGGTACCTTAGCATCTGTCTGGTAGACCCCCATGACAAACTGCTCAGAGTTTGTCCTAGCTCCAAGTAGCCTTGGTCTGAGAAAGCGTAAGATAGCTGCTGATGAAGAAGCTGGGATGAGAGAGATGCACACATGATGACTGGCATCTTGCCATCACCCAAATTTGAATCTTGGTCTTTCATAGCTGCAGAGCCAGTGCTTGTATAGGTGTTCTCCTCTGGACGTTAGTCTTATCTAGGCAGTGCTTCTCCAGCCTGTATTGCCATGTGAAAAATCTCACACTGAACTCTTACATAAGGTTTTAGGGCAGAAAGGTGCCTTTATGAATATGCACTAGAGTGCAGAAATTACCAACACTTCAAAGGGTCACATGCACCATTAGAGTGGGGGAAAGTATTGCTAACACTCTTAGCTACAAGCAAACTGACTCAGAGAGAGGAAGAGTAATTTCCATATGCTAAGGCAGTTTTTGGAACAGATTGGGAGAGATCTGAGAAGTTCTGGCTTCCATCCCCTTCTACTACTACCGAAGACTTTTGAGCTTTTAATCAATTTGCAAAGTCCTAGCTGTTTCCCTGAAGGGGTGCAGATCACTGCACAGGGGATGCCAGTCCTGACAATGGACCAGCTCTCCTTTATTCCCTTTGCGAATCTTTAGAAGGTCCACACACTCTTATGGATCCATACAGCACAGGCTGAAAACTGCAGCATTAGGACAACCCACTTGCAAACTAGAAGAATGAGCCTCAAATGTCCCCAAAATCATCACTGCAGACCGACAGAAGTGAGATTGAAGAAAGCAGTGATAGGCCCTTCTAAAAATAATAGACATATTATTATTGACAATTATCTTGCTGTTAGGAGCCCTGTCACTTTACATAACCCCCACCCCAGCACTATGCTCAGACTGTGTTTCAGGAAAAGCACAACAATTATGGCTAATAGTTGGATCTAATTTATAAGGAGCTGAGAGGAGACAATCATGAGAAAATGAGATAGATAAACTTCAGCTGGAAACAATAGGGATCAATTATGACATAATCGCAGCCCAGCATTCCCGGGCTCCTGAGATACTGCGCCTTCCTCTTCATTAATCAGAGATAATCCAGAATTAGGGTGTTTAATTATTTGCAGAGATTCTTTTGTACTTTCTGCCTCTAAAAAAGAAGATGCTGATTAGCAAATATACAAAAGCTTTCCAGCTCCAGTCAACCATTGCATTTAGAGCAGGATTTTTGGCTGCAGTGTTGCTGTCATGTTGAAGGCTTCACTCTCTTCAGGTGAAATTCACCCCTGTGATGAGGAACCTGACGGATCATTGGAGCTGGATGAAGGTGGGAATAAAGGGAGCAGCAGGCATATATATTGTTTAATGCCTAAGACGCTAATAGGATCCCTCCTACTGCTTCCAGTAGGTTTTTTCTGAGGTGCTGTGACAAATGAAAACTCAGCTTTTACTAGTATATAGTGGTAAGGCAATAGCAGAGATCCCAACATTGCAGCCCTTCTGTTTGTGTGGTCAATAGGATGGCTTCTGTACACAGTATCAAATGTGCATATAATCTTCCCTCCCATTTTCACCAGAACTGACTGCAGGACCTCGCAATCTGTGAATGTGAATCATGCCATCCTCCTCAGACCAATGATGTCCCTTTGACAGGAGCAGGTCTGGAGTTTGAAGGGATTTTGACAAACAGATAGATAGATAACCTGTGCTGAACAGGGAGATACATGTGCTTAAATGTGGGTTGTTTTTTTTTTTTTCTTATTTCCAGACTATAGAGCTGAAAGGGCTGCTCTGCCTGTCTTGTCAGCTTAGAGGAGACTGCAGAGTCAGGGCCTAAGGTTATAATTGTAGAGGGTGTTAAGATTCCTCTTTTGGAACTTCTGGTGCTGTGGGAAATCTTTACTTTCTGAGTTACTGAAGTAGACAACTGCTGAATGGAGAAACAAAGAAAAGGAGAAAAAGTAAGTAAGGCTGTCCAGAGACCAGCAGTGCAGACTCTGTGGGTCCTGCTGACTTGCTGAACTGGACCCACTTCAGCTTCCTCACCTGAGGACTCCTGGGTGCACACTGGCGATCTTTACCCAGACAGGTACAGGAGGGCTCCTACCTCTCCCTGGAGAGACAGGCTCTGCATTTCCCTTCAGGCAGAGAAATGCCTCGGTCCCAGCTCATCTGCTACCTGGTTGCGTGCTCCAGCCACTGTGACTACCCCTTCAGGCAGAAGGTATTTCTGCAGCTCCGTGAATGGCTCTGGACATCACTCATGGCTTCAGGCAAGGTTCAGGCAGCTTTCTGGCTGTGACTGGACTGTGGTGGCATTAAAGTGGGAAGCTGACACCTACCTTCTGAGAGCATTGCTTGCATCAAGATACCTGAAGGACTTAGAAGGCCATCACAGGGATGCCTGGTGGGGCTTCACATAACGGGTTGAGTAGGATTGAAGTCTATGGGATCTGATTGCTATCTGGCACTTAGACAATCTGCTTATAACTCAATTTAGGTGGAATTTAAGCCTTATGGGTTTTACCCAAAATAAGTAGCTCACAAGCAATGTGTGTCACATATTGGTTTCTAGCAGATGGAAAACATTACAGACCGGGAATAACTTTGTGGGAGTTGTGGCTTGCCTGACTGTCTCCTAAGATAAGGGCACTAGCCTTAAGTTTTCTGTTGGATTGACTGCTCTGTGTGCATGTGTGCGTGTATGTAACCGTGTGTGTGTGTAAATTAGGAGCTTCACATTCTCAGTAAATAGCACCAGCAAATGGAAGCTGGTAATACTAACTCTGTCAAGGCTCAGTATTGATCCTGAACAGCTCAGTGAAATGCAAGCCTGAGACTGCAGCCTGCTAGCACTAATAATTAAACTGGTTAGCAATATGGAGCTGCCACTCAGCTTCAGACTTATAATGAAATTGTTTAAGAGGAGAAAAAAAAAAAATAGAGCAAGTATGAATACAAGTCTGTGGGCTGGATCTCCTTTGGAACTTGTTTCTTACAGATCTCAGACATTATTGCCTTTATTATTACTCTGTTTAACTCCTTTGTCATTAGATTTTGTTCTGTGCAATTCCAGGTGGAGGTAGATTTTTTTAATTTTTTTTTTTTTTTTGCTTTTCCCCAATTTACTGATTTGTTCAATGAACGGGGTGCTTAACTGCCTACTGTTATGATGGTTGGAGCTCTTCTAGGCCAACCTAGCCTACCGCTTTCCTGTGGGGCTGCCCCTGTCTTTGAGTGTCATGAAACTAAACTAGCCATAAAATTGAAGGAAGGTACCCACGGTTTATTTTCAGCCATTTTTATCAGGAAGGCTGAGCTTTGCTGACTTATATCAAACAGCTGCCCTATAATGCTGGTGTGAAGTCTTTTTTTGGCTGCCTGTGATTTTATGGAATAGCAGTATCTTTCTCCAGTGTATCACTGCAATTTGGATTTTTTGCCTCCCTGTTGCAAAAATATGCTGTTTGATGTTGTCACATGTCAAAATATCCAGTGAGATATGAACTGTGTCAGCAGGACTGGTCTCTTCCCTGGTGCTGCACATTCCAGCACAGTTTATGATATATTATACGCAGATCAATATTTAATGGACACATTATACTGTCAAGAGAAGAGGACTTCCTAATCAAATTGAAGTTACTTTGTCTAGAGACTGACGGGGGGAAAAAATGACCCTCCTATTCAAGAGAGAAGTCTCACTCTTACACCTGGGCTGTAGCAAAGGATCCTTTGTCCTATTCAGATAACAAGTGATGCCAAAAAGTGGCAGAAGGAGGTAAAACACCTAGTTTTGCAACGAAGCATTTGCATGTTTCAAACAGGAAAGTTCTACAGAGTGTAATATTTAAATCAGCACCTGTACCCTTGCAATTGTGATCACTGGCCGGTGTGTATCTATGCAAAGAATGAGTGAAGAAGGGGAAGATCTGAGAGTGGTGGGTGAGAAATAAGCAGAGATGATGGTGGAACTGGTGAGTCAAGATGTAAAGTAACATCCTTGGCTTTGTTTAAAGAAAAAATTGGCCTGTTCAACAGAGTGGGGAGAGCACATCTTGAGTGAACATAAAGACCTTGTGTTCCAAGGGGAGGCTCTGCCCTGCGATCAGTTATAGGCATCAGTTTGCACGTGATGAGACACAGCTCGTTAGGGGCATGGGTTTTTAAATATAATCAGATTTTTCCCATCATACACATGCAGACAGCACCCTGACTTCCCCTGGCAAATGTGAATCATCCTAATGAAAGACATCATAGAATCACAGAATGCTTTGGGTTGGAAGAGACCTCAAAGATCATCTAGTTCCAACCCCCCTGCCATGGGCAGGGACACCCTCCACTAGACCAGGTTTACAAAAGCCTCATCCAACCTGATCTTGAACACTTCCAGGGATGGGGCATCCACAACCTCTCTGGGCAACCTGTTGCCTGGTGCTGTCGTGGTGGCCACCTTATGTCGGAAAATTATATATACACTGAGACCAGGTCTAGCTTGACACAAGCCATCACCTTACCTTTGCTGTTGCCATCGGGTCCCCGAAGGATTGTGCACTCCTCGATGTTGCCAAATGCTTCGAATAGCCTGCGCACATCATCTTCTGACTGCTGCTTATTGAGCATGCCCACAAAGAGTTTTCTGTCTTCTGGAACAAAATAAAGAGATGCTTACCATATTTCAAGAGGTATGTGAAAGTCAAGATGGGTCAGTATCACATGCAAAACAAATGGTGATTTCATTGAGGTGACATATTTCAGAAGCTGCTAGTCATTTCAGGTGGCTGGCTCGAAAAACCTTAATAGAACCTGACTTTCAGGGAGTACTTGAAAATAATTTGGCAATTTAAAAAAACCCAACCCAAACCAACAAACCCAAAAGTCCAAAATGCCAAAAATATACAAAATCTTTAACCGCTTCTCAAAATCTAGGCACTGAAGTCTTCCAAATCAGCTTTTTCTGATCAAATTTTGCAGTCAGCTTGCAGTAACTGAAATGACAACATTGCTCAGACTGAGATCCAAGAGGAATGTGGATAAAGATAGCATATAGAAATAAAGTCCAAGTGAAAAATAACATAAGCTAGTAACCCTCGCAATACTAAATAACTTGCAGGAAAACAATGTTTAACATAAGCTGTTTTAAATCAGGATATAATGGGAGCCATAGCCTGTAAATGGAGATTTGTCATCTATGCCCACTCAAAGACACATACCTACAAGTTTGCATGAGGTTTTTAATATATTTTTAAAGTTCATGTTAAATAAACCAAAAGTTTTGAAACATATATTGTTTTTTTGAAACAGGCAGTTAACTTCTATGATTACTAATACCTGAGAGAGCTCAAGCAGCTGGTGTTTCATATCAAAGTAGGACATGGTCTGTTAGTTGTATTTTGGATGAGGAAGACTACTTATACTTGGACTTATACCAAGTATGGAGATCTTCAGTCGAGAATGAAACACTTTCAGACAAACGTTGGTGAAAACAGACCAAACTAATGCTTGCTGAGTTAGTAGAAAGACGTCAGAGAGCACCAAGTGATGCCTCTAAATCAGTTATATGTTCGGAGACTAGTGCCATTACACCAAGTAAAAAAAAAAAAAAAAAAGACATTTACATAGTTTACATCGTGTATGTAAACAGGCCATTTGCACATGATTCATAAATGTCTTATTTATCATTCATTAAACACTATGTAAATGTGTGAACCAAGAGGTTTTTTTCCAGAGCAGTTTACAGAGCAGATGTAACCAATTTGAATAAATATATGTAAATAAATAAATAAATAGTTTGATTTTTTAAATTTATTTATTCTTAATGCACATGTTAACCTAAAGCTGAACAAAACATTGGTTTGCAACAACCCTTTTCTGGCTGACTAGTTGGGTGATTTATGTCGCTTTTGTTCACTGAGAAGTCATTGGTGTAGGCAATCTGTTCTGCTTCAATCAGTGTTTGATCAAAATTCCCTTCTCCAAGATTGTCCCAGTTTTGTCTGGGATAGAGTTAATTTTCTTCCTAGTAGCTGGTATAGTGCTGTGGTTTTGATTTAGTATGAGAATAATGTTGATAACACACTGATTGTTTCAGTTGTTGCTAAATAATATTTATCCTAAGTCAAGGACTTTTCAGACTCCCATGCTCTACAGACTGAAGCTGAGAGGAAGAAGAGCCACGACAGCTGACCCAAACTGACCAAAGGGATATTCCATAGCATATGATGTCGTGCTCAGGATATAAACTGAGGTAGTTGGCTGGGAGCAGGATCACTGCTCGGAGATCACTGCTTGGGGATGGGCTGGTTGGCGGGTGGTGAGCAATTGCACTGTGCATCACTCGTTTTGTATATTCTGATATTATTATTATTTCTTCCTTTGCTGTTCTACTAAACTGTCTTTATCTCAACCCACGAGTTGTACTGTTTTTTTCTTTGATTCTCCTCCCCATCCCACTCGGGATGCGGGGGTGAGTAAGTGGCTGCGTGCTGCTCAGATGGCAGCTGGGGTTAAACCACGGCAAAGATGCACCTGCAAATTGGCAAATTGCTTTATAGCCTTGGATGAGGATAATTTTTCATTCAGTGGATATCAATGAGGATATTAGGAGCTTTCAATCCTGCAGTGGAATTATACATGTGAACGAAAAGTGTACAGAAAACGAAGAGTTATGTTGCCTTCTGTTAGGCAGCTGAAATGGTAGGAAAAATAGGTTGAGGAGGGTACATGTTCATTTCTGATAAGGGAGACAAAACAGGGATAGCCTTCTGATAGACAAATTAAAAGGAAGAAATATGCCTACTTTATGTTGGAATTGATTAAACAAAGGGACTTTTCAAGGTCTTTGCTGGCAACATGAAATTCAGGCTTTAATGATGCACAAAGCCCTCAGTAACACTGGGTGGGTTGTCCCCACCTGAAAAGTAGCTGCTTTGGACATCTGGAAGGTTTGTTTTCCTGATGGCCAACTGGTGAGCAAAAGAGACTCCCAAAGGTTAGGTATAAGCCTTAGAGAGGCAGCTACTGAACTTGAGTGTGTGCTCTGTGGGGTTTCTTTCAGTCTAGGACTAGAAAAACCTCAGGGAAAGATTCCAGTCCAAACTCCAACAGTTATGCAGATATTGGAGGAAAACCCACCTGGTGAATATGAGACCAGCTGTCCTGGAAGAAGAGATATTTTCGGAAGGGGGCAGAGCAGAGGGAATGAACTGAGAACACCATTGGCAAAAGGCTTTGCCTGCAAAGTTTGTGTCTAGTAAATACTTCCAGCACAGAGGGAGCGTCTGTTATATTGTACTTTATACAGTTTCCCCTGTTTCAAATAAGCTGCATCAGCAGAAGCACTCCTATAGCTGTGTAACTGTATTTTCAGCAGGCTTTTTGCTAATATAAATGTATCATTAAAAAAAAATCACATCCCTCCTCTGTCAGCAAAACTCTCTAGTGTGGAACTGGCCTGAAAACGCCTTGTCTGGTTTAGTTTATGCAAAGCTTAAACCAGGTGTTTTAGGAAACACTTAATTTGATATTTTATTTTATTTTATTTTAGCCCCCTTTTCCCCATCTCTGCAGGACACTAGGAGTGGTGAAGGCCAGAGCTGGCTGGCAGAAGATGTGGTGCTTTTGTGAGCTGCCCACAAGGTGGCCGTCAGACCACCAGGAAGAGGTTCTGCCAAGGGTGAGAACCACCTTCCCCAGGGTGTGCTGGTCCAGCCACTCCAGGGCAGGTGGCATGAAGGGGTCCCCCATGGCCAGCCAGGGTCCAGCACTTCCTGGACATCACCTCTAGCCCCATCTCCATGTCAGCACCCTCTCTCCCTCCTGAAAAACTGTGCCTTGGGTTGTCAGGGGAATCATTTGTCACATCTGCCGTCTCAGAAATCTGTACAAGTCACATACTCGGCTGATAAAAAATGAGTCAGTTTAACAAGCTTTTTTCTCTGAGAGGTACTTCTAACAAAGTGCTGCATTCACCTTTCACATTCCAGCCCTGTCAGGGAGCTCAGCAGCACGTTTTAACAATGCCCTTCACACATCTCAGGTGGGAAGAAAAAGGGAGAGACCCAGCAGCTGGGACCATTCAAAACATTCCCAGTCTTGGCTAATAAGTTTTTCCTATAATGGGCTCGTATGCAGCTCTCACACTGTGAGTGCCCCCATATGTTGCTCTTCTAGGTCCCAAGCAAAAAGCCAAAATGCCATGCACAGGGGCAACTCCTTTGTATGTCTGAACATGGCCATGAGTCTGCCAGAATAAAATGAAGACAGGATGTGCTGGTGTCAGTGGGATGTGTCTGAGCATGTGTGCCCACAACAGATGTTCCCCACCAGACTTTTCCAGTGTCCTTGAATGAGAATGAAGGGCAGTACCTTGATGTACCATCGCTCAGGTTGCTCTACATCCTAGAGAAACCAGAGGTTTAGGCTGCCTTCAGCAGTCCCTGAATCAAGCTGTCCCTGAACTCTGTTCATGTGTAGGGTGCACCCCTTACCACCCATGGTCCACCCATACCACCTTGCTGAGTGCTGTGCTTTCTCCTTTTTTAGTGAGGGAGCATCCCAAATCTATGTGTCTCAGGTCCCACATGTGAATTTCAGAGCACTAGGCAGACTCAGGTCCCATGTCCTGCCTCCATGGCCAAGCTCAGTGCTACCATCCTCATATCAGATTGTGTAAAAAAACTTCAGATTAGGCCCTTGAAGACCTGATAGCCAGGGCAAAGCGAGCACACTGTCAAGGAGAACAGAAATACTGTTGTCTGGGGGCAGAAGAGACAAAAAGAGGCTGGGGATGAGCCCATGGTCTGGGATGTCCCCAACATCAGCTGTGGACATGACCATGTGTTCCAGCTTAAGCTGGTCCATGGACAAGGGTAAGGGAGTGGGACCTCACAGTACCATCCTGTCTTACACAACAGAGGTGGGCAGCCACGAGGAGCAGCCACTATCTCCTCCCTATGAGGGAAATTGAAACAATGGCTTGTCTAAGGACAAGTATGATGAAAACCTGCTCTATGTAGCTTCCTCAAGGACACACATGGTCACATGTGTGGTAATGATGCACATCTGAGCATCTGCCCTCTGCTTTTGTCAGGAAGGCCCTCTTCAAATTTCTGTGTATTACACACATCAATGCAACAATTTCAGCTTTTATCTCATGCCCACATTTCACATGTTAGTGAAGAAACCTCGCTAGCCTTGCTGTAGAGGCAGCTCTTAACAGCAGCAGTCTAAGCAGTGACGCTGCCCTGAACCATGGGGGCTGAGTGTGGTGTCCATGTGAGCCTCCTCTTTGTTCTTTTACTTTTCCCTCATTAGACCCCATTATCAGTCTTTCCCCACAATCTGTGTCCTTAATGCCTGCTTGGCCCATGGAAATAATCATGGATGGCTATTTCTCTGTGCTGTGGCACCCAGAAGAGCTGAGGAGGCTTTTGCTGATGCACTGATGCCCTCACCATAAGCAACCTGAGGCACTCCCATAATATTGAAAATTAAGTCCATTCCAAGTCTACACCATTTTGCCATAAATAAACCACAGCAACAACCGGAGCAAACACACCCCATTCCTCCCAGGAGAACAAGTAGGGA